AATGGGTGCAGAGCCAGTGGTGGTTTTGTAGGCAAACATTAATGCCTTGAATTTAATGCGAGCAGCTACTGGTGGCCAGTGCAAATTGATGAACAGAGGTGTGACGTGAATTATTTTCGGCTCATTAAAGATTAATCTTGCAGCGGCATTTTGGATTAGAGGTTTGATAGAAGTGGCTGGAAGACCTGCCAAGAGAGCATTGCAATAGTCCAGCCTGGATAGAACAAGAGCTTGAACAAGGAGTTGTGTTGCATGTTCTGAAAGAAATCTTCCTAATGTTGTATAAAGCAAATCTGCAGGACCGGGCAGTTTTATCTTTTTATCCTTTATCTCACATAATAAATTAATATCACTCATATCAATATTTAATGTCAATTTATTTATTTATTTGCCAAGCAGTCATGTAACAAGTGGGATAATATAGTCAGCCTTTCATTACTGCAAAATAAACCCTTTCCGGATGATATGAAGACCTTAATGATGACTTTTGAAATGTTTATTTTGTTGATTATATTATTTCTACTAAAAACTGAAATAAAAACTTGCTTAAACATTTTTTTTTTAGATATACTGTTGTTTTTCAACCACATGCACTCCTAACCCTATATTTCTGCTTAATATAAAAAATGACAGGGGCCATGCTGCTCTCAAAAAAATCAACTCTCTCTCTTCTCTTCGATTTTCTGCCTCCAGAGAAGCTAAAAATACACTGTCGCTACTGCAGTCAACCAGCATTTGTGCTACAACCTACACACAGACAGGCTTGGTTCAAGGCACAGCATCATCATACCCAGCTTTCATATGTGTGCCAGGACGGGTTTCAGTGATAATAGTTTCATAACAGAATTATTATTCTCCTAGGAAGAGGTTTGGCACAAAGGGCACCTGACAGCTAATTCATCTGTTCCTGTACTGCAAATATTACCACTGAGATTAAAGGAGAGTGCGAGCAAACAAATGCCGCTCCAAAAGCAAAAGGATTCATTTATCAGCGCTGGGTTGCTTTACTAGGTATTAATATTGTAATTTGGGACCAGAAAACATTAATCACTGTAACGGTTGGACAGGAGGTGGAAGAAAGACAACAAAATAATGGTCTCATCAACTATACCTTGTGGATGTCTTCTCAGAAATGAACAGACAAAATCTGCAGTTTGTGCATCAAAGAGGTCTGTTGTTTTGTGTCTTTTAGGAACTTTGGACCGCAGCATGGGATGCTCTGGGAACCAACAGCGTGGTGGATGACCTCCAGCATGCGGCCGTCACAGCTGGACCTCACGCTCGTGGCCATCCGCCTGTTTGTAACTAAGGGTGAGAAGCTAACAATAATAATGTTTATTTTATAATACAATTTCTGTCTTCTTTATTTTCTGTTAAGCATTAAATAATAATAACAACAATTATTATTATTATGCTTCACATGCAAAAAAAATTTTTTTTTTTAAATTAGGAAAAGAACTACATTGTGAACAAACAAGCCAAAAATAAAGTCAATGAATGTCAAACTTATGAAACTATGTGGAGATTAGGTAAAATGAATAACTGCTAAATTGAACCCCTTAACCAGCACCCCCATAAAGCTAAAAAGGATGTATCCAAAAACAAATGGCCGCCCGCAGCTCTTGAACCAGTTGTTTTCCAAAAAATTTGAATTAGCTAGTACAGGAACAGATTGTGTGAAACAAACAGACTCAAAAGTGACTGTGTTTACTAAATTTAATTTATTTAAAATCAAGGATGAAGTGTTTTCTGCTTTAATAATTTGCTAATAATAACACATAAAAAGACGCTTGTTCGTCGCCACCTACTGGCACAGGCCTAACGTTACACAAATCTAGGCATTTAAGCTTAATTGGCATTACAGTATTTCCAAACTATATATGGTACTTCAAGTATCAAAATAAATTATACAAAAGTTAACCGGCTAAGAAGATTTTAAAAATACTAATAAAATAAAGAAAACCCAGCTTGGAGCGTCTGATGCCCATGTGTACAACACCACTCGCGAACTCGCTTCTTCGGCGAGTATTCATTATGAAACAACTGCCAGACATGAATTTTGACATCTTCGCGAATATGCGCGTTCATGAAAACATGATGTTGGCAATCAGTGCGCCGAGAGCGCGCATAACGTTACATGCTGTATGCGCATCAATCATAGCGTGCGTCGATGCAATCGTCTTTACCTTGATTTACAATTGTCTTCCACCAAAACTGCTAGAATGGTAATTCACAGATCAGCGTTATTCTAGCGAGAATCGACGATAACAGGACTTTGTGTTTGCTCTTGATGGATATTTTCTGTGAAGTCCTCCTGTGTTTGACACACAGTGATTTGTGAGATTTGTTTCTGAGTTAAGCAATAATAAGATATGGCCAAATAGGCACTAAATTGATTTTATTAATGCTGCCCCGCTGCAGTCCATTACGAACAGCTCTGTATGTTAATGGTCTAACAGCGCTCGTCAAGTCAACATGATTGAGATGGCCAATCAAATCAAATCAAAGAAAGGCGGGCTTTACTGTTTACAGAAACCGAGCTTGAATTCCTGCATCACGCTTCTTCATTCGTAGATGTTGGCTAGGCAGCTAAACGTTTACTATTTGACATTTTACGATATAAATAGTAAATGACCGCGACAGTAATATCCAGTTTAGCAAACTACTGCACTTTTTTTGTGGTTTTGAACAATCGAACATCGAAAAAATATAATATTGTACTGTAAATTAGGAGCCCTGCATATTGTGGTCACAAATTAATAATTTCTTCCCACGACTTATTTATTTGTTCTTTAGCTTTAGTTTAAGCATGGCCACGAATTCGTTCCCTCGTTTTAACTGTGGCCACACTTTACTAATTCGTTCCATCGTTTAAATTAAATTAAAACTAGAAAATCGTGGCCACGATTTATTAAAACTAGGAAACGAATTAATAAAATGAAGTAATTCATTCCTAATTTGTTGCCACAATGTTTATTTTTGTTATCTGTGGGGCTCCGGTAATTGTACAGTAACTTACAATAAACTTACATGTGTGCATATTGTGAATTAATTTATTGAACTTGCTTTCCAGGTAGTCTTTAGTTTCCGTTAATTCAAATGTCTTAGAACATGATTCATAAACAAGAAGTGGGCGAGTTGTTATCATCAGAACCAAACCAGGACGTGATAAAAAATTGTTGCTGTCACTCAAATATATTTTATGTTGTGGTTAGTACAGTATCATCAAAATAAAGATATTATTTACTTTACCATAAATTCTAGTTAAACAACCTTAATTGATTTAATCCTCTCTTGGACAAGGAACCCATATTCATTCCACCATATTATTTTTTTTTCATGTCAAGGCTTTGAATTACTTTATCTGTGATGTTTCTATAATGTTTGGCAAGGTTATATTTTGAGAAACCTTAAAAAAAGAGACCTGAGGTCCTTCTTGGGTCAATGTTACCAGCGATCTGAGACAGGCAGCATAATGGTTTATCATTTTTGACTTGACCACATGGAGCTGAAATCTAATAAAAAGTAATGATAGTCATTTTGATCAAATAGTACATTAATTCCCTGACACTTAAGAGGTTCCCACATATCTTTCCATTTGTATAGTCTCTCTCTTAGTGTCTGACTCTCTTCATTTCCCTCTCTCAGGTAATGACCAGGCATAGAACCAACCCTGGAGATGCCGAAGAGAAGAGATATTCTTGCCATCGTGTTGATTGTGTTACCATGGACCCTCCTCATCACTGTGTGGCACCAAAGTGCAATTGCCCCCCTGCTGGCCATCCGAAAGGGTACCAGTCTCTCTTATACTTATAACAAGTTGTCAATGCCAATCTTGTTATCAATCAAAATGACAAAATTCAGCAAGTCTATTCAATTGTGGTCATTTGAATAAGGTCACGTTAGAAAAAAATGTGCATAATGTTATTCTTACTGCAAAATTATCTTTAAAAGAGCATTATAAAAGTGGTGCTAAACAAGATTTATTTTCTTGCCACTTGAATACAAATTTGTTTTCTTTCTAAACGTCCACAAAACCGTGAGTTGACTAAGTATACTTTGTCTTTCAGCACATTGTGCTTTCATTTAATGTGATATAAAAAATAACTATTCATGTAGATTAACACAAATCCCACTTTCTAACGCATTAGATGAGTTTCAGCTCATGTGCCTCGCTTTAAGAGTCCACTGACTCCAATGAGATTACCCAACAGCTTCTCATTTATTCAACTGCAGAAGATTTCTCCAATAAAACCACCCTCTGAGGAGCATTTCTGGTGGAAGCAAGTCAGAATGACCAGTTTGCATGTATATAGCTATATTAGCACTTACATTAAAACACTGATGCAAGTGGATGAATCACATACACAAGCTGTACACATAACCTGTTATTTATGGGGCATTTGGGCCAATCTAATGGCTTCACAACAATCTATCAGTCACTGACCACCTCTAGCTCAACCTACAGGGAAATACAACACCTAGCATTTGAAGATCTATACATCCATATATATGCATGTCAATACCATCATCTTATGGAGATTTACAGATGTGTATTCATAGAAATTATCATGAAGCAATTAACGTGGGTTTGTATGATGCCTAGGAGGCAGTGAACATCTGGACTGCTAATGGAGTGTGCTAATCTAATGGTGCTAAAATGTCTGAAGTGAGAGCAGGGCACTAATTGAACAGTGAAAGATCTGATTTGTGAGATGCCATCATGATTTCTGACCTTAATGAGCTATCAGCAGGAATGTGCTGGAACTGCCCACACCATCATTTTGTGAAAATATTCTGGAAAAAAAAGATATTTGGCAACACTAATTATTTCAGCAATATCATTCCAGCTTGCTCATTTAAGAGATTTAACAGAATAGTTCAGCCAAAAATTGAAATACATTCTTTCTTCCATGGAACAAAAAAAAAAAAAAAAATTTAAAAGAATGTACTGATCACTGTGTCCTAAAAACTCTGAACTGAACTAAAGTCATATGAACTTTTGAAGCACACAAAGGCACTATATTTGCAAACAGTTCTATATCTAAAGTTTTCCAGTCTTCTAAAGCCATCTGATACTGCTGCTTATCCAAGAGCTCTGTGGGTCACTATACAGATGCCAAAAGCACACCCTTACCAAAAAGTAGTATACTTCAAGTTTATTTTAGTAAGTATACTTAAGTAAAGTTCAAGTATATTTTTAAGTATACTTTATGTAGTAAGTATACAAATATCAGTGTACTAGTAGTATACTTGTAAGTGTACTATTTCAATACTCCTTGGGACTAAATTGGCCCACTTTCTAGTATATAAAAGTATACTTTTAAGTATACTTTAAGTATAACAGTAGTAAACTT